GCTGGCACCCAAGCACCCATACCAGCTATAAACCACAAGCAAAAAAAACATCTACTATTTTTAGTCCTGTCAGGGCTAAGTATCAATTTCAGTTTGGTTTGGTTTGTTTTGCTCCATTTTACTCTGTTGTTTTTCTCTTGTTACTCTTGAAAGTCATTCCCAGTCCTTACTCTCATGACCCACATTAAAATTACCACATACTCTCTTTTAGGACTACAAACATGAGTGAGGTAAGTCCAGTGACATGCATGAGTTTATATTTAACTCATCCCCTTCGGAAGGTACAGGCACAACCCGTGTTTTCTGGACGGTCCCTTCCAGAAGTGGATCATAAAAGCAAAAGAGAATAAGCTGCATTATATTCCACATGAAAAGTTTTACGAAGCATTAAAAGATCCCCTAAAGCTTATTGCACATATACTACATACAAGAAAACCTGACAGTGTAAAACTAATTTCCGTGGTAGTCAGACTTCCAGCAATACAGCATCAAAACTAGTAAAAACATGTTTTTATTTTTGAGTCCCATAAAACTCAAATACATTGCACAGACGTGACTGAACAAAGCATGCACAGTTAATCCTGCTCAATTTAACATCTTTTATCCATAAGTTTGTTCTGTTACTTCACCAGCAGTATTTCCCAATAAGATTACAGTGACATGTAACTGGGTTTTTTTCTGCCACTCTCCGGCAGTTTGCACAGACCACTGCCAGCATTTTGAAGGAATCCAGGAGCAGCTGTACTGCAGGAAACCAAACGATCTTGTACCTAAGTACCCTGGTTGTAACAGCTGAAGCAAGCAAATCAGATGCAATACTGCTGTCCATCAATAGCACGGAGACAGTTCATGGATCACGGAGTACTTCCAAAGAGCAGTGACATTAAAATTAAATTCAAATTTCAGGTAAAATTCCAGCAGTGATAAATCTCCCGGTGAAGAAGCACACTCCAGATCAGATGCCAGCTGCCAAGGAACAGCCACCAAAAGCACAGCCTTCAAAAGCAGCGACAAGTAACAGGTGAACTTCAGAGATGTACAGACAATCGAAGGAGGCGAGCGCTATTCAGTGAAAAGCTAGTGTGGCAAGGCATAAAACAACAGGTTGTAACATTTTGCTCCAGCAGTTATCTGCTCAAGATAACGGAGTCAAAAGAACTGCTAGCCATTTGCAGAATAAGGCCTTTGGGCCCAATCTCTCCCATCCATTTCAGTGGAGGCTAAATTATGGGGTTATCCAACAACTCATATAAATCATTCAAAAAAATACCAAATAACTTCCTGAGTAGTAGGTGTGAGATTTTCTTCAATGAGTGCACCTAATCATCGCTTAGGGCAAAAGGAGCAAGCGCACATCCTACTACAGGAGGCACTTCTACTCCCCCCACACGCATTGTAAACATCACGCTGATAGTTTGATTTTCCATAAAACATTCACAAGGAATTCCTGTTCCTTGCTTAAAACCTAAAACTGCTGCTGCTTGGACTATATAGTAAAACACAATTTACTTTTGGTTTTGCTGTTATTTAATCACTCAAGACACACTCCTATGGTTTACTTAATCAGCAGAAGTCTTGTCCAGAGTTTCGATCTGATACTCTAATCAAGTCCTTGCAGCATATTTATTTTTCTCAGCACACCTATTTAGCTGTATTTAGCTGTATTTTATTCACCTAAACACACACCTCTTCCTGTGCAGTCATATTCTACTGCCCGTCTATAAAAAGTTAATGTCTTGTAGAGGTCCTCCCATTTCTCAAATTTTAAAGAGTTTTGAAGAAATCTGCCTGAGCAACACCCTCCCAAGTATTTATCAGTTTTTCTGGGCACATATTTTAGTATGAAATGCTGCTATACACTAGAACAAAAATTGCTTTGTTTCACATGTTAGAATTTGTTAGCCACTTAGCTAATATAAAGCCTTCAAGATCTTTTCTGGTTTTTATTGGCTTGTTTAATAAAATGAAACACAGATACAACATATTTGCAGAATGATACCACAGCTCTATTGACTTGGCTTGTGCCCTTGGACTCGGCTAGCACAAAATTCCTCTGAGCAAGCTTTTCCTAACTCTCCTCTGTTTTCTTTTTAATCAGTTGTTATGGATTATTGGCAGCAGTTAACAGAAATACAAGACAATCAGTCATGAAGTTAAAAGGACACTTCCTTTCAAATAAACCAGAAAGGGTAACAATTAGTTTTCTGGACTAAATGCAAACCACCCAAATATCTACTAAACACAGATACATTACAGTTACAGCAAGTTATTTTTCTATTGCTATCAGAAAAGCCATTGACCCGCCATGACTTTCAGCACAGTTCAGTCACAGATGGTCATTATTGTCATCACTACAGACAAACATACTGCATACTATGTATGTAAACAGACTGACAGCCATTAGGGTCAGAAGAGACCTTTAGGCCACCGAGGCTGGCCTCCAGTACATCACAGGCCACTACACTTCGGCCAGCTGCTCTTGTGTTGAGCTCAACAACTTGACAAAAACAATTGTCCAAAAAGACATCTCAGTGTGAAGACATGAAGAGATGGAAAGGATTCTCCATCTTTGCTCCTTCCCTTTGTAGTCCGCTCCAAGAGTTACTCATCCTCACTCCTTATAATTTGTGCTTTATTTCCCATCCTAATTTGTCTGGCTTCAGATCACAACCATTAGTTCTTGTAATAACTTTTTGCACTAGATTAAACAAGCCCAGCATTTTCTCCATATGAAAATGCAATTTTTGTAAACAAGCCCTTATTTTTTTAATTCTCTAGCGTTTTTGACAGACAAATTCTGGCAAAATTTGCTAGGCTTATTTAAGGCATCACCACTTGCCTCTCTGCTGCCTCCCTAGAAAACTTTCAAGAGAAGGTGCCCACACCAAGCTGCCCCCAACTATAACCCATCTTGTTAGTTTAAGCTGCAAATGATGACCAGTCTGAAGGAAAATAAACAATTTTGTGCTGGAAGGCACTTGCCCCCCTTCCGTCAACTCATCCTGATGGATGATGTCCATCACCCCCTTCCAACACACACTCCCCCACAGCCCCCCTACCTCCCACTCTCTGAGCGTGTTTTGCAGTCTCCCTTGGGCTGCCCCTCCAGTTCGTTCACATTCTTTTAAACGTAACAGAACTGGGTCTGCACCTACTGCCTAACACCCAATTCCCCAGTGCCACATACCAAGATAAAGCATGCCTGGTTCTTACAAATAACTTGATCCTCATTTGGATATGCAAGGGCATTAACCTAATTTCCCTAACAGCACCATGATACGAGCTCTTAAATGAGCTGCAAGTCTTCATTAATCCCTAAATAAACCTTTAAATTATATTAAATTCTTTCCAGCATACAGTTTCCTTTTCCTAGTGTGCAACCTGTGTTCCTCGTTACTACAAGCTGAACACTGTATTTGGCTGTTTTAAAAAAAATATTTTTGTTGAATGGTCCAACTGTGTCAAGCAATACATATGACTGTCCTACTTTCTCCATTGTTCCCCATTCCATTAAGGTTTGTGCCACCACAAAATGTAGTGATATTGTTTTAAAATTTTCTTTCAAAAATGCTTGAAGTACCTAGCAACAGGTCTAGCACAGACTCCTGTGTAGTCCCACCAGAAACACACCTATTCGATAGACACTTCACTGACTAGTACTGAGATCTGCCAGCCAGCTGATTTTTAAGGAGCGCATTACTGACACTGCAGAGCACCAGTTTTACTTGTCTTTGTGTATCTTTTGATATTAACAAATAGTAGAAATAAAGAGAACAGTACAAACTGACACTGAACAGAAGGCGTACATCTCCCACCCTCCTGGAAAAATCATGAGATCCTTCCACATTATTTTAGACAGCAACTTGCTTAATCATGATCAAACATGCTTATCACATCACTAAGCATGATGTAACCACTTAACTCGGTTGCCGCAGCAGTGGGTGAACGTCGGTGTCTCATTATTTACTAAACATATTATCCCTAGCGCTGCTCTGCTGTCCTCCAGCTTATAACTGTCTTCCTAAAATACTTCGAGGATATTGTATCCAAGTTAGATACCGTCATGCTGGAACAGCGGTCCAGTCACTGTGCTGTCCATCACTATGCTGGTGTGTCCTCACTGCTGCATCAGCGGTGCTGACCAGCAGGCAAACTGGAGCGCTGTGACGACCACAGGCAATGTGTCTCTGCTGGGACTGTACAAAGCTGAGGGTCAAGAGGATTTTCAGGCAAATCTAAAAATCTTTTTTTAAAAAAACAAAACAAAACAAAAAAAACCAAAAAAACCCACCACCAAAACTCAGACCACCCTTAGTTGGTAAAGGTGCAGTAAGTTAATTCTGCCTTTTCCTACAGGATTGCCAAGGACCTGTCTGCCTTTCCAGGGCACAAGATGCTGTGAGGGAAGGTGACCGGTAGAATGGTTAGGCTTAAACCTCGCTGCAAGATGAGACCAAGCCAAAGAGCGGCTATGACTAACTCAGAGCTAGCGGAGCCCCAGATCAAAACCTGCAGCATGCAGGGAAGATACAACACCGAGCAACATACGCTAAGCCTACAGTGAACATACAGATGCGAACCACAGCGCTTAAGAGACCAGATGTAAAGAGGAGAAAACAGAAGCAGGCAAAGACAGTGACCGCTACCTCTTCCTATCTAGCAACATGCCCAGCGGTATCAAAGGGAAATGACTACCTCCACAGGTGCAGCTAGCTCTCCTCCTCCTCCTCAGGGCCAAGGCAGAGAGAGGCTGCTTATCAAGAAAAGTCGGGGAGGATAGTAAACAGTAAAACAATAATGCTTTAAGTCAGAGACATCCTTGGCTGGGGCCCCCTCAGTATGTCTTTATTGTAACATCATCCAGTTAGCTGGTTTTGTAATTAAACAAACGAAAAGACGAAGGTAGCTTGCCTCAATTAGCTAGAGGATGGATGACACTAGAAAAGAATTTCTGTCCTTGTTTCCACAGCAGATGAAGTGAATGAAAAGTAAACTCTTACCTCTTTTTCTATTTTGAGCAGCTTCTTTACAGCCACCTCCTTGTCCTGAGAAATCCATCGGGCTCGGTAGACACTCCCGAAACTCCCTCCACCGCAGTTCTCAAAAAACTGCAAGTCATCAAATCTAATTTGCACAAATGAAGCACTGGTAGACGACATCTCATAATGACAAAATATACCACAGCAAAACCTGTGAAGAGAAAAGCTTTCATTAACACATATGCTCCGTGGACTTACAGACTTTCTTACCCATGCTCATACACCCCAAAACCAGAACCAGTCGTCATAAACATGCTACAGTAACATCCGTAGGGCGCAGGAGGAAAAGAGCCTGGGAACTTGCGCTCCAACAGGCTGTGCAAATGTTTGCATAATTTGCACAAGCTATTAGGAGCAGCTGGGAGACAGAAATGACTAAAAATATTCCTCAGAGCAATATTGACGTTTCCCGAACACCTTGGAAGTGGCTCTGCAAAAGGCAGGCGTGTCACCGCTTTCCCCGACGCAAGCGACGGACGGGAAGCATGCTCTCCGCTCCAAGCTTGCCTAGGAGCTCAGGCATGCCAGGCACGCTGGCTCTCCCGCCGCCCCAGCCGGGCAGGCAGCCTCCCGGCAGGCGGGCAGCAGCGCCTGGGCAGGCACCACGCGTGCTGCCGGCACTCGGGGCGAGGTAGGAGTGCTTCACGCAAGGATGTGGAAAAACCTGGCCACGGTAAACATCTCTTCCCAAGTGACTCAGTTCTGTTCACATGTTATAACAAAGCGCAAGTACATGGTAATTCATCTGGGTTACAGTATGTGTATTCTGCAGCCTGTGCCAAGGTTGGTGTCGGCAGTTTCAAGAAATGATCCCATGTCTGCTGCCAGAGGAACAGAACGTCCTTCTCGGAGATTTCACAGAGATAAAGCTTATGCCCGTAGCAAATTTCAAGAAACGTTATCACCTAAATGCATGAACAATGACTAATTTTAGGTTTCTTCTTTTAATGGTTTAAGATCAGGAAGCCTCTGGTCCTTCGTGGGACTGCAGGACACTGCATCCTCCAGAACCATCGACAAGCCTGCTGCGGGCTCATTTCAGATGCACCAGTTTAGACAAAGTAGTTTTCATTACCACCAAAAGTTACTATACTTGCAATTAATGAAAGTAAACTTATCAGCATAAAATGAAAGAGACAGGTTGGAATAAAACAAGCCAAAAAAAGACACAGAGATTTTGGGTTGCTGGTGAAAATTACACCTCCAATTATACTGGTCTAACTGTAGTACCAAAACATACTGTGTCTTCTGGGAGCCTCCAATCCATAGGGCTTTTTGAGATGGAATCCACACATTATGTCTTGTTCATGGCTGGGAAATGCACCTGTAATACATCTAGCACTGCCTGCTGCCAAAACCCCTTCATCCCACTCCCTTCTGTAACAAACCCAAAGACATAATTCCCACCCCACCCCACCCCCCCAGCTCTCCTGATTGTGCAGCTACTACAATTAAAATTTTGAGCTATCATTTGACCAGAAATTTCTGGCACTATTTGGTTGCAGCTATTCTCCAAATGAGAGATGAAGATACCAACATTTTTTCTACATATTGCATAAGATAGCATACAGCCTTTTCTGAAACTGCCTGCTTCGTTTTACATCTCTTCACCACCTCTAAGGGTAAAGGCAAGCACTGACCAGACCATGACAACTTTACTGTGTTTACAGAAGGCATCACGTTTAGGAGGGAGCAGGCTTCAAACACGCCTTTTGCTGACAGCCAGCCTGCAAAGCTCTCGGTGAGGGAACACGAATGCTCTTTCCCCAGCTCTGCAAGTCGGAGCAGGGGTTACCCGTGGGACATGAAAAAAAGTCCATTCATCCAGTACCCTGCCAGCTCCTTCCCCGATACAAGTGCCTGAACTCTTCTGCTGACCTTTTGTTCTTGTTTTAACCTTGTTGCTGTTGTCGTTAGATTTCCTGCCATCTCAGAGTCATCTTTTGCACCGCCCTGCGCACGTTTTCTTTAGAGAAAGCTCAAGGGAAAGGAAATCGGTCACTCCTGCGAATCAGGAGAGCAGCGAAGCCAGCTTTAACTTTTTGCTTCTTTGCCAGTGCTGCTTATTTAGCAGGTCTTCAGAAACAAACACTCATTTGCCTCGTTTACTCCAGCAGTTACTCCAAGTTAACACTGTGTACACAGTGTCTCAAGCATATGTGCCACTTTATAGACAAATAAAACAGGTCAGCTTCCCAACCCAGAGACCTCACAATTTAAGGCCACAGCCCTGCACATGTTCATGCACGTGGATAATTATGCTCCAGTGAATAATCTCCTTACTGACAACAGAATTATTCAGAAGAGTAATGTTACTCATAGGCAAAAGCATATGCACCGACTGGACCATAAATTTAACAGGAAAGTGTGAACAGCTGATAACAGATGGTTGCATTTGGGATGGCAGAGGGAACAGAAAACCAAGCGAGAAGAAAAATACATCACAGGAAACAAATATTTCTGGCCTTCACTATCGGAGTTCAGTAGTTCTGAAGAGCTGTCAAATTATTTCAAGTTATTGTTCACCCAGAAGAACCAAATCATCTGTATAAACAAGTAAATGATTTCACTTCTGAAAGTTACACTAACATAGAACGAGATGTTATTCCAAGATTTCACAGAAAACAGACCTCCAGATGGTACAACATACACACCAGACACTTGATAAATACGAGGACTTTTGATGTGTCCTCCTTGCTGCTTAAAACTTTATCTAAACATTTATGCAATCACAATGCAGTGCCCAGCACACAAACATTTGCAGAAGCTACTGTTCTTTTAACACTTTCCCAATCTCAACTTTATCTACAGCAGTCAATCAGCTGCAGATGCTATAGGCACCACCGTACATATAAGGCCATATAATTTAAGGAATGATTCATTGGTTTGTATCACATTCTTCCAGATGCTTTTTTCCAGAGAAAGTAGAGGAGATTTACATGGGACATTATTTAGAGATCTGTAATTAATGACAGCCCAAGTTAGGTATACAGTTTTCTCCTTCTAGATGAAAGAACAGACCTGTTTAAATATTACTTCATGTTTTTGGATGCAAGGTAGTTAATCCTCAATTAGACCGATCAATCCCTTTGTTATGTTTGAGAAAACAACTGTTTAGAGTAACAATTGCATGTGACAAATCCACACACAGTTATTAACTTGTCATCCTATTTTAAAAGACACTTAACAATCTGAGTTTACACCATTGGTTAAGCCAAAAAAAAAAAAACAAAACAGATATTTCATTAAACTCCATAGTCTTATACATGCATCCGAAACAAGTGCATCATTCCAACAATGTGTGGCACTTCTCCGCATCTTGCACTCTCGCAGTCAGGAGAGCAGTCCTCTGCAACAGGGTGTGCAGGCTTGGGGCCGGGGGCATTACAGCAATTCCCCTGCACGCAGGCAGGCAGCATAAGGAAGGTTTGGCGTCAGCACCATCCTTCCCCACTGCCACAGTTCTGAGTGTTTAACCACTGTCGTCGTGTTTTTTTTGTAGGAGTAGGGAACACCGCACTGACTGACTTTGTTGCTTGTTGTCAATGAAATGAAAATGTGACGGTTCAGAAACGGTTAATGACAGGTATGTGAAGAAATAATTCAATTGCTGGTTATTTTAATTATTCCCATGGGATCTTGGCGGGGGGAGAACTTTCTCCTTCTTCTGTTTTATTTCTAATGGTTAACATGAGCTTGTAATCATGCAAGAACATCTCCATCTTCTCCTGTGTGTTTTTTTTCCTCATAATAACTTATTAGAGCATGCTGTTAGAAGCTGTTCATTTCATACAAAAAAACAGATCTGAGACACATTTGGCAGTATTTAACATGTCGGGTTATTATTTAACATTATTTAACATTAGTATTTAACCTGTCAGGACTCTATTACGCAGAGTACCTTTGCAGCAAGCTATTAAGCCACAACAAGCTCATTTCAGTACAGTAATAAGTGCTCGGTGTAGGAAATGATCCGCCATCACTGGCTTGTTGCGATTACAGCATTTTGGGGGAGTAACCAGCTGGGGGGTCCCTCCCCAGGACCCTGCTGGGGTGCCACGCCTGCTGCTCCCCCCAGAACGCCCCCAAGGTGAGGGAACCCCCAAGCACCCAGGCTGCCAACCAACAGCACTGCAGGCTGCCCTGCCCTGCATCCTAGCACAGCAACACCGGACGAACCCGACATGTTCACTTGTACCTCCCAGCTCCCCAAAACCAGCCTGTGCAGCAAGGGAAGTGCCGGCAAGCCCAGCTCTCTGCTTTATTCCATGTACAAGCCAGAAGACCCTAACATTTGTCATTCAGCTACTGCTCCCAGAGTACAGAGAGCTTCCACTGAGGGACTTGCAAGTTAGAGACAGGAGGCAGGAAAGAATTTAGCACAAATTGCACAGTAACTGCAACTCATATTTTGCTTAGCGCGTGGCTGCAGAACTGAAAATTGCATCCCTCATCTTGCACGTGCACCTGACACTGCTTAAATATTCGATTACTTCAGGAAAACCCTTTGTAATTTATTAAAGGGAACAACCACGCAACTCGCTGCCCTCGCTTCACTGCGTGGTTCCACGAAGCAGGATTCAGTGCTTCTTTCAGGAAGGCACGCTGCCAACATATTGCCAATAAAGTAGTAGCACACTACACTTGTGCTATCTTAAAATACACAGCAGAATGTGCCAAGTTTCCTTATTTGGCAAAACAGCCCATTTGCTTTCAGGATCTTTGACCATCCATTTTTAGACCCAAATCATCCTTTGTATCCAACATGGCCTACAATCCTTGAACATATCAACCTGGATTTTTGCAGCAGCATACTTATTTAGCCTTTAAAAAAAAAAAAAAGTCACCAAAAAAAGCACAATAAAAAAAAACCTCAAATGTCAAAACATGGTTAACCATTGTCTTGTCTAAACAGAAAAGGAGTTACAGTGATATTGTGCTACAAGAGATACTGCAGAAAGAAGTTTTTATGAATAAAAGATCCTTTAATCATATCGTGAACTGCTGATAGATAAGAGCAAACAAACTCCAAGCACAACTCCAAATTAAATATATCATAATCTTCTAATCTCCCAGTAAGTTAAAGTCAACAACCCCTACAATTCCTGAACTTTCTTAACCAGACTGAGCAGCAGTCCTGCAGACGGTGAG